CAACGCGAGATGCCAATCAAACAGACTATCCGCCAAGTTTGTGGCCGTGCTAGTACCGGGGATGAACCATGTTGCTCTGGTGGGATAAGATTACACTTGATGCACCAGTTCAACAATTTTTCTCTTATCATTCTCTCCATTATTTTGATTGGCGTTGGTGTGATACTTATGGGACGGAATTCTGAAACTAAGCGCGCTCCAGTAACTTTAGGAATAGCAGTGACCAACGCTTCTTTCCAAACTTCAGGTACCTCGCCCACATAAAGGAAGCATTGAAAATGTGGGCCAAAGGTGTGGAGAGAGACGAAGCACATTTCTTGAATACGATGGGTGGAATGCCATCATAGGGCTCCGTTGTCGAAGGTTTGAGACGCCTGAGAAGCTTGCAGATATCATCAGGGCGAAAGTAAAAATTAGCGCTAATTGGCCGAAAAGGGCGCAAGTTGGAGATTGGTTCACCAGCAGAAGTAGTATTTGAAAAAACACTCGCAAATAAATCACCTAAAGCATTAGCCTTACTTGCATCAGAATGACACGCAATGCCGTCATTCTAATCATTGAAAAATTTTTGCGCTCACCTATGTGCAAACCGAATCCTACAACAAGGGCTTCCCTGTTCAAGGATAGTATGCTTGAGTCATCTCTTGCCAAACACACAGGCGAAACTCCTTTTCTCAGCAAAGAAGACACACTCTGAAAAAAAAACGATTCTCCGTACATAGCTATCGGGCTCTCTGGATGCGATCTGAAAATTCTATGGGGCTGGGAGTGGGAATTTCCTCTTTTCGGATTCGGGAAAGGCGACATTCTCTCAGTTTCACTAATCAGTATTGGCTACGCTCATACTGTGTGACTTACAGGCGGTTGAGTGGCGCCTTTTTCGAGTTAGAGAGATTGGGTATCTCCCTCAAACAAACGAGGTAGTTCATTGGTAATGAAGATTTATAGTATTACCGACAACGTACCCTATACCGAGCAGAATGCAAAAGATAGTCTGGATTCAGGCCCCGCCATTATGGAGCAAGGTGTTTTGACCATCGGCCTTAACTCGTACTACTTATCCCACTAGGATCAACCCTAACGTTCGATTCAAAAAAAGTTGTAACAAATGGTGCAACTGAACCGCGATGCGACGCCATGGCATGCGTATCCTTACGAGTACAATGCTGTTGCTCACTCGATCGCTTTAGGGTGTTACATGCGAATGTGTCACGTTGTATCCCTCAGTGATAGCCTTTTTAGAGACAGATAAGGAGAAGAAAAGACAAATTACGATCGAATAGGGACCAACCTTAACAAGTGCAATGTCATTGGCAATCGTGTTCTCATCGTATTCGGGGTGAATGACAGTTTTTTCCACATGGTGGGTATGTAGGGGGTTGTTGAGTGTTCGTAGGCCAGTGAGAATGAAGGCTTTCTTCGGTTTTTTCCTGATAAATGGAAACTCAATACTCACCTAATGATTTACTCCGACACCGCAATTGAAAGAATCCAGAGGATCACAGTATTACGAGCGCTGAATTCTTTCTATTTCACTTCAAACGTTTATTCAGTTTCTGCTTTAGATTTGAGAATGGACGCCAATAAGGTTGTTAGAATAAGCGATTTTTCTCCGTATGATCAGAGTACCACAGTGCAACAGTGATTATATTAGGTTGATGCACAATTATTGCTGATTTTTTTGCGGCTTCTTTTCTCTCAAAAAAATTTAACTTTCGAATTCGGAATTTTTGTAGAAATAATCTTCTCGCTTTCCTTAACAGAAATATGTCTAGAAAGTCATCTTCATATACGCCAAATTATGCTCTATTACTTCGAGAAATGTTGGAACGCGGCACACTCATAACATGATCTCAACGAACTTCTCGGCGATGGAACAGTCAGCCAAAGCCGAACAAGGTGTGGAATCTGCTTCTGCGGTCGCCCTATTCACCAAGAGATGCTCCTATGGATCATCACATCAATCGCCCTTTGAAAAATTGGTTAAAGAACACAACCTTCGGCGAAGTGGATGGCTTGATGGCCAACGTCAAGGCGTGATGGCCTCCAAGAATCGAAACATCTTCGCCTGTGGAATCCGACTGTCTAGCAACTGGGAAGCAATGCTTACGTAGATGGTGGATATGTTCTGGGGCAATTATTTCAACATGTATTTGCTAGGTATTTCTATCGTTTCTTCAATTAAAATTTGCTGAAAAAACCCGCAATAATTACGCATCAACATAATATATTCAGTTATCACAGTACCAGTCGGATCGCCCGGCTAACGCAGGGTTTTGCTCCCTCTCCAATATGACAAAGTTGTAATAGTCAGCTAATCCGCCACTTTGGAAAAAGTGAACTTTTCTTCTGAAGGAATACTTATCTGCAAAACTTGTTACAGGATGAATAGAGCAGTCCTAGTGATATTCTATGTGCCAGTGCTTATGCCTATGATTAGAAGTCTCGTTATGTCGCTTTTCGTCGTAAAAGTATTCACGTATTAGAGATTCATCTGTCAGACAACCAAAGCCTCGAATGGTACGCACAACTGCTGTTGCGCGATAACAACACCATTATTGGATGTCGCAGTGACCTTTTCTCTACAGATGTATCAGTCGAGCATTCCGGATTTTAAGCGGTCGGATAAGGTTTCACAATTCTTTGCCGTACAGGTTTGTTATGATGGAACCGTT